TTAACGAAGACGTAAATAAAAGGATTCACAGTAGAATTGCACGTGACCAGAACGATACTTGTGATGTAAGTAACATCTCCATAGTTCTGCGAAGGACTGAAGTAGTTCAAGGCGTAAATGATCAGGTTTGGTAACCAGCATAAACCATAAATTACACTCACGACCAGTACCATTTTGGTGACACGTTTTCTCACCCTTATCACGCCCTGAAATATACAGAAAATAAATACGTTTTACCTTCTCATCTACATCACGTGTAAAGAGCATCGATATCAGATAACTCGTGTCATGTAAATATCGCAGGCTTAAATTTTTCAGAAGGGCATTAGACTATGTTTTTCGCAATCAAACGACAGCAGTTCAAAATGATTGGAACTGCTATAATTTCTGAGCGTAATTTTCTGTTCAAGGAATTACAAGAAGCCTCATATTTTCGACTGGTCTGACTTTCGAAGTCGTTTAGAACTCAAGGGGCACTACAAGGTGGATCTTTCGAGTGAGTCCTTCGTGAACTAACACTTAATTGTAACTCGCCTGTGGGCTTCTTTTTTTCTTACTTTCTTTTCTTGAATTCTATCTTGAGTGGGTACCTATCTTAAAATCCACAAGAATTATTGAACCCAGAAAGGGTAGAACCAAACTAATCCCAAACTATGTATCCTTCACGCCGTGTCATTATTTGCCTTTGACGTCAGTGGTAAACTGTAATGAAAACAAATCCTGAATCATTTTTGGGTTGGAATTGGCTTCGATACGCAACAAAAACTGACAAATGCAGAAAGAGATGTACCTTTCAAACGCATCGTCATATGCTGGAAATTCATAGTTAATGGGTTAGATTATCATTTAGTCGAGAGAGTGTGGAATTAATACCTGCCGAGTGTTTTGTGTCATGTTTTTTACAGTACCATCCTCTTTTTTAAACCAGAGCGCATATACTACTTTGGAATACAATACAGTCATCAGCACTATTGGGATAAGTCCAGCAACAAAGAACCAAATGGAGCTATATGCCTTGGGAAGCCAGTCATGTGGGTGCCAGTATTCCATGCAGAAGTTTTTTTTTTTGTCAAAATGTATTGTCAGAAATAGAGGAATGTTGAGAAGAATTGCACCGATCCATGATAACGGTATGACGATCTGTTGATAAAAAACGAATTATGAGATAACTATATAAACAGTTTAGTCAAAAATGTAAAACGTCGGAAGCGAAAAATGCCAGAAAAATGAACGCAATCAATTAAACCACAACCCTTTCTTGATGTTGACTTATGAAAATAATTAATAATGGTAATTGAACTAAGTGCAATTTGGTCTGAGACTATACGCGTGAGTATGCGCACGAGTATGTATTTCTACCTTTAGTTTATTGTACGTAAGTTTCCCTTTGTTTCCATAAGGATACGTCACGGCGTAATATCGTTCAAACGCAATTACCACAAGTGTAAAGACTGATGCAGCACCACCAGTCCAAGTAAGGTTTCCCCCAGTCAGAAGCCTGCAGACCCATGTCCCTGCTTGTCCATCTGGATGTTCGAAGGTGTGAATCAAAATAAAGCGCGGCGCGATGAACAAGGCCACCATGGCATCTGCCACCGCCAAGTTTAGAAGTAGGACGTTCATAGGGGTTCTGAGAAATCATTAATAAAAATATCAATACCGGTGGAATGTTCAACGTCATTCTCCCACATTTTATACCGACCACAGTTGGCATGACTTCAATAATACGCAGACAGTAAGTCTGTTTAACACTCCAAATACAACATCACTAACATCTTACTGTCAAATGTGGCACTATTACGCCCAGATTGCCGTGAATTTGGGTTTCTTTAAGATCTCTTCTAATCTGTAACATTTGGTTAAAATAAACATCACTCACCCATATTTCTATCAAAACTATGATCTAAACAATTATTTATTCATAAACGTAGATTATCTGCTGTTTACTACAAACTGGACTTCAATATAAACAAAAATAATCCGAAAAGCTACCATAAGAATGACTACTCACCTTACATGATAAAAATCAAAATTTTCTCGTTTGTTTCTTTTTTTGTAAATGATCAACCAGCTATGGTCTACTTCGTGATTGGAAACCTTACCGGCAATATACGAACAGTGACTCGAGTGCAATTTTTGGAGAAGCATCATTTAAAATTATGAGACTCATGAATAGCACAAAAACGTTCCAATGAAAATATCTAGTTGCATGAATTCAAAAGTATTGCTGGTAGGCTATTTTAGGTGAGCTGGTTTGGGAAAGTTACTTAGAACAAAAGGCGAAAGCTGTAAAACCCTGCTAACTCCAAACCCTCCGATAATTCGAACTAGATCCGATCTTATTGACCCACTTTTCAGTCATTTTGTATCGGCTAACTCGAACCCATTTTAACTCGAGCCATCTTCTGCTTCGGCTTTGAAAGTTCATCGAGTTCAAGCTAGTGGGGTTCTACTGAAGCAGTCTACTCATTTCAAAATAGGTATTAGTTGTGAGTAATGTTGTAAAATGACTCATGTAAGTGTTACAACAGCAAGTGGTTGTTTAAGTTACATTTTGTGAATAAACTATGAGTGAAAGCGTTCTAAATCCAGTGCAGTCTTGGCGAAATACCTCATATCCCGGTAGAAAATAATAACCAGACCCACGATTGCGTTACCGGTGAGATTCGTGCTGATCAGAATGGAGAACATAGTAGTGATCCCAATCGTTGCTGAATCTGAATCCGTGTACAGCGACATGATCGTTCTGACTTACTGCACGGTAAATGAATCATATAACAAAGTTACTTAAAAAAAGGAACATTCACAAATTTTGACTATGTTTGCCGTGACAAAAGACGACTGGAGCTTAAGATTTCAAAGAGAATTTAAGAAACATACCCATGGCGCGAAGTGAACAAGACTATTCGTTCTATTTGATTATGAATAAAGGCTGATAGTTTCGAAAGTAACTGTTTGGGGCTGCGTCGGTGGGAGTAACGAAATAATTTGGATATATCAACAAAGTTGAAATGGTAAATTGGCCAACGAAACGATTACAAAAGCTGACGTTTCGAGCGTTAGCCCTTCGCT